GACTCTGACTCCCCTGCAGCTCCACATGGGGACTCTGACCCCCCTACAGCTCCACATGGGGACTCTGACCCCCCTGCAGCTCCACATGGGGACTCTGACCCCCATGCAGGACCAGATGGGGACTCTGACCCTGTGCACAACTGGACCAGGACTCTGACCCCCATGCACAACAGAGCCCATGGACAGGGGCTCTGACCCCTAGTGTTCACCTGAATAAAAGTGAAAAGTATCTCTTTATAAATGTGAGGCAATGGCAAGAGCCAAAGGATATGACACCAGCCATATCTGGAAAAAAGTATTCCAGCAGCACAATAAGGGGCAGCTGGGAGGCATGTCCAGGTCTCGCTGGTACAGGAGGATCAGCAGGACCCTACGTGCATCCACACTCACAAAGCCACCAGACAATGGTCCCTTCATGGTCACAAAAATATGTTGTTGGACCAAAAAGTCCATCCATCTGTCACCCAAGCCAATCAACAGAGAAGCACATGACAGATAAACAATTTTACTTTTATTTACAGAAAAAACAGAAATTCCGGAGAACAGCAAGGATATCTCCTCAAAGAGCTATTCCGTTCTGCTGTTTCTCTTTGTTACTTTCATATTTTCACAATAAAACTAAATACTAATATACATTAAACAGGCTTTTCTTCACAGGTTACAAGGTCACACAATATTTCTCTGTCTTAAAGTAGTGATATCTTCAAAGCATTCTTTAGACTAAATCCATAGCCAGTGTTTTCCTAGGTACATTACTAAGTGTTCTTCCTACACTGGCCTTTGACGGGCACCAGGGTCCTTGGCACATCCAAGGACCTAACTTCACAGAAGGCCTTCCTCGTGATCACACAGCTCTAGATGGCGGCACACAGGCTTATCAGCCCACCAGCGCCCTGCCCATGATGGTTATTTAGGATAACAGCATTCACCATCAGCTCTGGATGCGCCATATCATTCCACTAGTCTGTTTGTCTCTGTAGTGGACCACAGTGTTTTAATAACTACACCTTTAGAAACATTAGAAAATAATGAAGGAGAATATCTCTTTCTCTCTTATAAATAACTCTAAATTCAAAAAATAAATCATCTCAAGACGCCCGGCTCCACAGGAACAAGCAGGTGCGTGTTCTCGCAGCCTTTGGAGCACAGGAAATGTTTCTCTGTGAGTCCAGGCTCTGCAGCAGAGCAGACAAGGGTGCAGCTTCCCTCCCCTTCAGGCCCCGTGCAGGAGAAGCGTCTGCCCCCTGGGTTGCTCTGCAGAGCAAGCATGCAGTGGCTTTTCCAAAACAATGTCCCAGTGATGAACTTTCCCCCTCTATGGAAAGAAAACCTCTTATATCCCCTTTCCCAAGACCAATTTCTCCTAATTAAGCCTTTGGAACTTTCCAGGCATTCTAGAACATTCCATCATATATTTAACTGAAGCCTAAGCATGAGTGACCACTGAGCCAGGAACTTCCCAGCCACTCCTCCGAGCCTGCAGCCAGACTCCCTGCCCCACTTCTCCGAGTCCCCAACAGAAAGCTAGTTATACCCACAGGGCACCCCACTCTGCACCCCATGGTAAGTCTGCCCTGGGTGCCATCCCTACCCCACTCCTGGGCTCAGGCACCCTTCCCCTGAGTTCTGAGTCCTTCCCACCTAAGATGGCTCATCACACCCCTCATGAGGTTTCAGCTTCTCCCATGGGGTTAAGCCAGGGCCCGAGACACCAGACTCCTGTGTCTCTTTCTGGATTATCACCCTCCCCTGAAAGACCCCCAATCTCCCTGCTCCATCAATTGCTAAGAAAGGGGCATCCAGGTCTCTCGAATCTCCCCAACCCTGGCCACTCCAAGGCACCCTGCAGGGTGGTCTCCATGGCTGGATATCCCCAATGGCTGGGCCCCTGGATGGAACAGCCCACTCTGTGGATTCTGCTGCACCCTCATTCCCTAGGACTCCCTCATCCCATCCTGGTTTCTCTCCAAATGTTGTCACAGGTCTGAACTTCCCAGAGAGCTTTTCACCACCCTTGGAGTGAGAGGTGCACAGGGAAAGCCATCCTCAGGGTTCATGAGAAATGCACTTTTCTACCGACTATCAGATTGGAAATCACTCCTCTGCACACATCAGAACATCTGACCAATGTGGCTTAAACACTCAGGGCTCACTCCTGTCACAAACAAAGAGGGGATATTACTGGTGCTGGCCCACAGGAGTCCCAAACAGTCTGCATTTTCCACTCTGCATTCTTAGGGTGCCTACTTTTACCCCCCTGCTTGCCAACCCTGATCACTGGGTGACTCACCACCACACTTAGAGGCTGCACACACATTCTGGCCTGCAAGAAGGGAAGTAAGGGCCAGAGGGCACCCGCCGAGCCTGTCTCTCTAGGAAAGGCAGGTCAGAAGACCCCTCCCCAGCAACGGCCACTCAAATCTCATGGTCCAGAGATTGGACCCCCCAATCCCCAGGAAACAGCCAGGGGAAGAGAAGAGTGTGGCTGGGTGAGCAAGTCCCCACCCTTGGTCCATTTGATGGCCCCTCATTACAACTACACCCCCAACATGTGGTTACCCTCCAGGCATCAGAGCAGGAGCCTCCAGACCTCCCCAAATGGAATGACTCAAGGAGCTCCTAGGCCTTGACACAGGGGCCTCACTGCCCATGGTGGCTATGCCAAGGACCAAGCAGGGCAGAGCAGGGATGTGGATGCTAAGCCTGACCGGAGGACACCCTAGCTGGCCCGCCACCCTTACTCAGACTGCGGGGCAATGTGGGGAGCTGCCTCAGCCTCTGCTCCCTGGGCTTGGACTCAGGTTTTATTCTGACTTTCCTGGGACTGCTGTGATAAATTATCACAAACTGGGTTAAAACAATACATATTACTCACAGGACCCTGGAGGCCAAGATCCAAGATGAAGGAGCCAGCTGGGTTGGGCTCCCCCGGCCCAGCTTCACCATCTGCAAAGACCCTGGTTCCAAACAAGTCTCCACAGGTGAGGACCTCAGCGTTTGCTGGAGGGCATGATGCAGCACGCAGCACACTCAGACAGCCCCCCAGGCTGGCCGGGCTCTGGCCACATCTCCACCAGGCACTTCTTCCAACACACAGTGGGCAGATTCAATCCCACCTGGCAACTGTTTCTGGGAGGACAGCTGCAGCACTCCTGTGCTCAGGGGCCACACAAATCCTGTGATACAGTGCCCTGAGGACACATTTGGGGTCAGCCCATCTCACCCAGCTGACAGGTTCTTGTGCTGTGGGGTTTCTTAATAATCAGGTTCACCAGCAGCTTTGGGAGGCCTCAGATGCTGGGCTCTTGTGTCTTATGTGGACCAAGTGGCAACTGAAAGCCCAAGAGACCAGTCGAAGGCTGATGGCCCAGCCAGGAGGCCACTGAAACACAGCCCACCCACGCCCACCAGCCAGAAAGAATCAGAGAGCACAGAGGAAGACAGGTGCTTTTACAGGAGGGAAGGGGCTCCAGGTGAGGTCACTGGCAACAGTCAAGAACAAGGCTGTGAAGCCATGGGGACCACCTGTGAAATGGTGTCAGCGTTTGCTGGAGACACCTGGCCCTGAGCCCATGGCCCTGCCAGTCTCTCTCCTCATTCAGGCCTCAAACACAGAAGGGCCTCAGCATAGCCACACCTCACTGTGTTGTCCAGCAAGCCTATCGGCCAGGTTATCAGAGAGGTCGGGTCACTCCCTGACCCTCTGCAGAGAGAAAGGTCAGCCTGGAGAGTCTTAGAGCAGTGACATCACCAGGAGCTGCAGGACTTCGCGGCTGGTGTCAGCCAGGACGTGCCAGGGCTGGGGCGCCTTTCTTGTGATCTCAGGTGTCTATGTGAACTCACAGGGACACAGGACGGGCTGGACACAGGGTGGGCTGGGCACGGGGTGTCTCAATCCTTCCCCATCTGAGACCTGCCTCCTGTCTGGCCCCAAGGAGAGGTGTGTGGAGACATTCAGCATTATTGCTACAGGACTCTGGGGTGTTTTAAATGCATAAATGCTGACTGGGAGGCTACTGGGTTTTTGCCCTAGTTAACCAGCCACAAAGTAGGGCTCTCCAGACATCTGCCCGGACAGGCAAGTGCTGCCCCGCAGCAGCTGGGGAGGGAGGAAGAGCCACGTGGTTCACATTATTGCCTCTGGAACCTCTAGATCTACGTCAGGAAGGGCCACGTGAGGTGGCCCTAAGGTCCGAGTGGACCCTGAGGTAAGAGGAGGCCCTGACATCCGACTGAGCCCTGGGGTCTGAGTGGACCCTGTGTCCAAAGTAGGCCCTGTGGTCCACGTGGGCCCTACGGTCACAGTGGAACCAGTAGCCATTGGGGATCCTCACGAGAACACACTGGCCTCTCTCACACGTGTAGCCTGGCGAGCCCTGCCCCTGGCCCCTGGGCTTAGGGCGGGAGGAGAACCTTGGCTGGGACTCGGCACCACAGCCTGGAAAGTGCGCGCTGGCCGCGTGCCCGTTCCTTCCTCTGTCCCGCGGTTCTGTGGGTCTGCGCTGGTCATCCGGCCAAGGGCCACGCGTTGGCTGGCTGAGCAGCGGAAGGGGCGACGTGGTGGACCTCACGACCACGGGCACCGCCCCCTCTCCCAGCAGCCCGCCCAGCCCGGGATCCTGTGGGCTGCGACTGCGGGAGGCGCCCCCGCCGCAGAGCCTCTGCGCCCCGGAATCGGCGGCCCTGGCCCGGGTCCCCATCAGCCAGCAGGGGTGCTGGGTGCGTGCTAGGAAGCCTCGCGCGGCGGGCGGGAGGTGGGGCGC